CTAACAATGTTATCAAAAACATCTTAAGGTTATCACCAAACATTTTAAGAATGTTTTTAGAGAACGTTATCCTACCTTTCAGAAGAGCATTCCGAGAACCAAAAGAAAACTTCCCGCTGAAAAAATTCCTAGAACAGTGAATGGTAACATTTTCAGAATGTTTTTAGAACCAAACATTTCTATGGGTCGTCTGCTTTCATCAACTGCAGAGGCGGAAATACGCTCTAATTGAAAGCTTTGTCCCCAAAATGAGTGGCTCTGTTATGCAAGGGTTACCAGACATCCTGATGCATCTGGTCCTCCTAACCCTGTAGTCTGTTACATGGGTTTTTGTGCAGGTTAATGGTCTGCAAAAGCTAAGATCCCATAGTTCCCTCCAAAAGGGAGCTTCAGTTCAGACTTTTATCCAACAACCATTGGATGGATAACAAAACAGTGTTATTTAGACATTCATGGTCGCCATAGGATGAACCCCAATGACGTTGGTGATCCGTGACTTAACCTGTGGTGCCACGAAGGTTTTAATATCCACAGAAAGATCTCAACATCCACATCGTTTTGTACGGCTCTTCATGAATGCTAGTTTTATTTTGGAGATCTTTGGACTTTTCTTCTAGCGCCACAATAAGGTTTTGATGTGGGTTCTTTTGTGAAATATCCCAACAACCATCACAGTATCTGTCACGGTGTGTGTGAAGCAGGTAGGACCCAAATGCAGAATAAAGTGACAATTCCTTTATTTCAAGGCTAGGTGATAACAACGACAAAACAGAACACTCACCGACGAACAAGTCATGACAAAAGACGAACCGACAAAGACAGACAGAAAAACCAGAACTTAAATACACACAAGACTAATCACAGAAACAAGACACAGGTGAGGAGGGAGGAGAAAACACAGGGACACCAGGTGAACACAATCGGGTAATCAGACACACCAGGGAAACTAACGACCGGGAACCACAGACAGATTTAAACAAGACACAACGCAGACAGAAACAGGCAAGACAGGAAGTGAAGACCTTTCAACATAAAACATGAAACAAGACAAGACACCATAAAGACAGATCGTGACAGTACCCCCCCCCCCCCTCAAGGGACGGATCCCAGACGTCCCAAAAAACCCCCACAAAAGTCCAAAACCTCAAGCAGGGTGGGTGGAGGGGGTCCGGAGGAGAGACGTATCACTAGGCCACCAGGGTGGGTGGAGGGGGTCAGGAGGACGGGACTGAGCTGACCGCCTAGAGGCACAGCAGAGGACCAGGAAGGGATCTCGGGCGGACGGCCCGGGGGCAAGGCAGAGTCTAAGGTGGGGGACTCGGGCGGCCGAGCATGAGGGCGAAGGCAGCGGCAGGAAGAGTCAGGGGGCCGGGCTCGAGGACGAGGGCAGCGGCAGGAAGAGTCAAGGGGGCCGGGATCGCGGGCGAAGACCACGGCTCACAGAGGGCCGGGATCGAGGGCGAAGACCGCGGCTCTCAGGGGGCCGGGCTCGAGGTCGAAGACCACGGCTCACAGAGGGCCGGGATCGAGGGCGAAGACCGCGGCTCTCAGGGGGCCGGGCTCGAGGGCGAAGACCAGAGAGCTCCGGAGGCCGGGCAGGAAGGCGCTGACGGGCCAGCGCCGGAGGCCGGGCAGGACCCGGTATCGGCCGGACAGGAACCGGAGCTGGTGGGACAGGCCTCGGCAGGATCCCCCACGGAAGAGGACCAGGACACGGGATTGGCAGGACCCCCGGCGAGACAGAGGATGGCGGAGCCTCCAACGGAACAGGACAAGGGGTTGGTAGGACCCCCGGCAGGAGAGTAGTCGGCGGGGCCTCCAATGGCACAGGACAAAGGGTTGGCAGGACCCCCGGCAGGAGAGTAGTCGGCGGGGCCTCCAACGGCACAGGACAAAGGGTTGGCAGGACCCCCGGCAGGAGAGTAGACGGCGGGACCTCCAACGAGACAGGACAAAGGGTTGGCAGGACCCCCGGCAGGAGAGTAGATGGCGGGACCTCCAACGGGACAGGACAAAGGGTTGGCAGGACCCCCGGCAGGAGAGTAGTCGGCGGGACCTCCAACGAGACAGGACAAGGAGCTGGCAGGACCCCCGGCAGGAGAGTAGACGGCGGGACCTCCAACGGGACAGACATACGATTGGTAGGACCCCCGGCAGAGGAGTAGTCGACGGGGCCTCCAACGGGACAGGACATGGAGTTGGCAGGACCCCCAGCGGAACCTCCAACGGACCAGGACATTGGGTAGGGACTTGAGACGAGACTCGAGAGGGGAACCAAGGGGGAACTCGAGAGGGGACTAGAGGAGAGAGGAGAGACTAGAGGAGGGACTAAAGGAGGAACTAGAGAAGGGAACTCGAGAGGGGACTCGCGAGGGGAACTAGAGAGGGGACTAAAGGAGGGACTAGAGAGGGGACTAAAGGAGGGACTAAAGGAGGGAACTCGAAAGGGAACTGGAGAGGGAACTCGAGAAGGGACTCGAGAGGGGACTCGAGAGGGGACTGGAGAGGGAACTGGAGAGGGGACCGGAGAGGGGACTCGAGAGGGGACCCGAGAGGGAACTCGAGAGGGGACCCGAGAGGAGACTCGAGAGGGAACCAGAGAGGGGACCCGAGAGGGAACCCGAGAGGGGACCCGAGAGGGAACTCGAGAGGGGACCCGAGAGGGAACTCGAGAGGGGACCCGAGAGGGAACTCGAGAGGGGACCCGAGAGGGAACTCGAGAGGGGACCCGAGAGGGAACTCGAGAGGGGACCCGAGAGGGAACTCGAGAGGGGACCCGGGTAGGAACTTGAGAGGGGACCCGGGTAGGAACTTGAGGGGACTCGGGTAGGAACTTGAGAGGGGACTTGAGAGGGGACTTGTGTCAGTCGGTACGCCGACAGGACACAGGGAGCTGGCGTCGTCAGGGGAGCCAGCAGGAGACGAGGTGCTGGAGTCGGCCGGTACGCCGACAAGACTCGGGGAGCTGGTGTTGGCTGGAGAGCCAACAGGAGACGAGGTGCTGGAGTCGGCCGGTACGCCGACAAGACTCGGGGAGCTGGTGTTGTCTGGGGAGCCAGCAGGAGACGAGGTGCTGGAGTCGGCCGGTACGCCGACAAGACTCGGGGAGCTGGCGTCGGCTGGGGAGCCAGCAGGAGACGAGGTGCTGGAGTCGGGACCATGACTGCTGGAGCCGGTACTTGAGCCGGAACCATGGCTGGAACTGGGGCCGGAACCATGGCTGCTGGGCCCGGTACTTGAGCCAGAATCATGGCTGGAACTGGGGCCGGAACCATGGCTGTAAGGTCCGGAGCTGAAGCCTGGATCATGGCTGTGTGGGCCGGTTTTGGAACCGGAAACATGGCTGCTGGGGCCGGCACTGGAGCCGGAACCATGGCTGCTGGGCAAGGAACCGGAACACGGATCCATGGCTGTGTGGGGTGGTACTGGAGCACGGTACCATGGCTATGTGGGATGGTACTGGAGCACGGAACCATGGCTGCTGGGTCCTGTACTGGAGCCGGAACCATGGCTGCTGGGGCTCGGGCTGCTAGCCTGGCCTTGCAACGACTCCTCTTAGCAGCCTCCTGAATACTCCGTGGACCTCCATAAGCCTGACGAGTTCCGGAATACGACTCCTGGACAGGAGCAGTAACTGGGGCAGAAGCACGGGTTGACTTCAGGCGGAACCCACCAAGGCGTATGGTGCCAGGTTGGGAATTGGGAGACAGGGAGCTAGCATGCCTGGAATCACATGCTTGAAGGAAGTCCAAAATCCAGTCAGGTAAAAACTCAACAAAACATGGTTTCTCTGCTGCCAACCGGAGCGCCTCTACCAGAGCGGCCCTCTTCTGCCGAACACTGGACGCTCCCTTCCACCAATCGAAGCAGCAAGCCAGATAGAAGGTTAAATGCTGTAATTCAACCTCCCATGGATCATCTGCTGGGTCCATGTTGTGGTCGGTTCGTTCTGTCACGGTGTGTGAAGCAGGTAGGACCCAAATGCAGATTAAAGTGAAAGTTCCTTTATTTCAAGGCTAGGTGATAACAACGACAAAACAGAACACTCACCGATGAACAAGTCATGACAAAAGACGAACCGACAAAGACAGACAGAAAAACCAGAACTTAAATACACACAAGACTAATCACAGAAACAAGACACAGGTGAGGAGGGAGGAGAAAACACAGGGACACCAGGTGAACACAATCGGGTAAATTAGACACACCAGGGAAACTAACGACCGGGAACCACAGACAGATTTAAACAAGACACAACGCAGACAGAAACAGGCAAGACAGGAAGTGAAGACCTTTCAACATAAAACATGAAACAAGACAAGACAAAACACCATAAAGACAGATCGTGACAGTATCAAATCAAATCAAATCAAAATGTATTATAGCCCCAAATCACAAGAAATGCCTCAAAGGGCTGTACAAAGCAAAAACAAAATACAAACGTCATAGCATAAAAATTATAAAAACATTATACATCAACATAAGTATTGCCATGTGATAAAATCATGTGACTAGAGTGATGATATTGATGAACCGAAACTAGGTGATGACAATTATTTTACAAGGAAGACAGATGCGAAGAGATGGGTTTTGAGTTTGCTTTCAAAGGAGTCAAGGGAAATAGCTTCGCGGATCTGATATGGAAGACGATTCCAACGGAGAGGTGCTCGGAATGAAAATGCTCTGCCACCTACGGATGATTTTTTAATTCTGTGGATGGAAAGGAGACTGGCATTATGTGATCGTGGGAGCCTGGTAGATATGTGCGGGGTAATTAATGATGACAGATACAGACGTACTAGTCCATGTAAGATTTTTAAGGTTAATAGTCAAATCTTGAAGTCAGATCTTATGTGAATCGGGAGCCAATGCAATTAAATGAGAACAGGGGTGATATGATGAAATGTTCCGGTTCTGGTTAATATTCTGGCGGCTGTGTTTTGAAAGTACTGTCCTGCAGAGGCCCACTCTCACTTCACTGCTTCTCTGTTTGTTTCCAGGTATTGTGTCGCTCATCTCTCTGGTGATCCTATCCTACGACCGCTACAGCACTCTGACTGTTTACAACAAGCGTGGGCCAGACTACCGAAAGCCCCTGCTGGCCGTTGCGGGCGCCTGGCTGTACTCCTTGTTCTGGACGGTGCCCCCTCTGCTGGGATGGAGCAGCTACGGCATCGAGGGGGCGGGAACCAGCTGCTCCGTGTCCTGGACGGTCAAAACGACCCAGTCGCACGCTTACATCATCTGCCTGTTCACTTTCTGCCTGGGCCTACCCATCCTGGTGATGCTCTACTGCTACAGCAGGCTGTTATGGGCAGTCAAACAGGTAGGGACTAGGGAGACATACAAGTCTGACTGTTTATGTTATTTTTCTGTCTGATGGCAAAACACATATTGCTCGAACCGATCCTCCGCGAACAAAATATAACTTGCACAAACTCTAGGCTTCAAAGAGGATTAAGAATATGTTTGAGTTTATTTATACACAAGAACAGCAGGTGGTTACAGTTGCCTCACTTCATTTAAAAAATGTATTTAGAACTCCAACAGCGTCCAGAGAGTTTCACAACATCAATAGAAAACCTTTCAAATGTGAGGTGCACAAAATGCGTTCTCAAATAGCAGCCTCATAAAAAAGGGATGCATTTTGGTGCCTAAGGGGGTGGAAGGGAAGTGGAGGAAGAAGAAGCAACCATACTTCTTTTGATCGAATATTAATACACTATCTTCAGTATATTTCATACAGTCTTCACCCTCTAAAAGACTTATAAGACTCTTTGTATGGGATCACGGTGTGCACATTTCAGACATGTTTCTGGTATTTTCTAGCACCAAGAAATATAGAGAAAACGGCCGGGAACACTGCCAAAGGGAGCCGCTCCCCCCTCTTGGGTTGGCATGTGATTCTCTCGTGATGAATCCCAAAATAGAAGCAATACCCCCAGCGTTGATGGGATTTGTTCCTCAATTTTAGTTTGACTGCATAACAATAACACAACTAATAGATTTATATCAGCGTATGTTTTGCTGGAGGTTTGTCAGACTTTTCCCATGCACCTCACACAAAGTAAGTGAAACTGTGCTATAAATGATAAATCCCTACTCTGCTTCTACACCACTTTCTATCTTTCAAGTACATTAAATGAAAGTATTAGCATGCATTGATTTTAAAAAAAGCTGCCCTGAACACAACAACACACAGATTGTATTTTCATTTATCATGGTCAGGCACATTTTGAGTATCTATTGCAGTGACTGGTGCATTGGGTTTTGGGGAAAGACTTTACCTGCGGTTAAGCAAATAATTTGGTCTCCCAGGGATAGAGACGGTTTATTCCTGAGAGCTGAAGGGGTCTGCAGCGCAGGGGATTATCCCAGAATGATGCTGTTAACAGCTGCAGGGACAAAGCTTAATACCACTCACACATCTTCTCACTAACAAAGACAATAACAACCTCTGACTCCTAAGAGGGAGGAGGAGTCGCTGCTGTCGAGCTGCACAGGTCTAATGTTCTCTCTTTTCAAAATTAAATCACACTCTTTGCTCAACCTTCTTTTCAAAGTGCCCTTCACCTGTGATTAACACTGTGGAATTGGTTTCAGCTCAGTGTCATTATCTTTTCTTCAGGCGCTATTCGAACCACTTGTGCTGTCCTAAAAATGGTTCGCCATGGTCATTTAGCATACTTACCTTCCTTATTAGGAATAACATAATTAAAGCTAAAGATTTCACGTCATGCTGACTCACAGTGTAATTGATGTTGTGCAATTAGCAGCGCAGTTTAAAACCTCCAGTAGTCTACGTGTGAACAAATGACTAAACCTAAATGGCAGCCATATTTTAAGACAAGAATCAGCCAAGGGAAACTGGATGTTCTCTCAACAGAAAGGTCACACACTGACAGTGTTTTGGTGCTTGTGAAACAACCTGTTGACTTAGAAAATGTATTATTTTTCTTAAGACTTTAAGAAGCAGCTCTGTCTCTGCAGCATTCAAATTAAACAAACCCACAAAGCATCAACACAGAAAGCAGATTCTTTATAGAATAATGCAAATATGAAATTACATAACCAGGTAATAATTCATGCGCAAAACACCGTATATCTTGACTCATTCCTCACATAGCAGACATATACTGTACATTCCTGTATATATAGGGTGTATTAAAGGGATTGTGTTGTGAGGTCTAGCCTTGGCTGCTAAAGCTGGCCTGTATTGTGTCTTTATTGTTGTGTGTTTATAAGGAAGGCCTACCTGTTCTAGTAAAGAGATTTAGATCTTTGTGAGAGGATAAATGCAAAACATTTTCCATTCATTTTGTTCCTACAAAGAGATCAATTCCTTTGAGCAATATCAATATAAGTGTTGGTTGGCAAAATCCTCAGCCCTTTTTTCTAAGCACCAATCACAGCCTGAAAAAAACAGCCATGTTAAGGATTTGTTATGAAATGGTTGTACAGTTTGATTTGGCTGAAAAGGCTTTGCTCTTTGAGGGAGCGCTCTGGAAATATCAGAGCAGCAACAATTCGGCGGGGAAAACAAACCCGTATGCAAAAAAACAGGCACGGACAATATATCTGAACAACAGCATGAGAAGTTCAGCACATGGAGTAAAGCAAAGGTCATGCTGGTTGAGGGAAATGCAGCATCAGACCGTATTGGTGGTGTGAAAGTGATAAGTGGATATAAGGGAAGCTGAGTGTATGAAAATGATTGGGTGTCATTCGCCAGCTCGTATCCGAGTAGCTGGTCAAAGAGTCGCTGATTGTGAAGTATGAATGAAAGCTAACAGCAATCTGCTTATCCGGGCTCAGCATTTCAAAACTGAACTGATCATAAAAGTATTGTTAACTTCCGGCTTTGGGAGTAACGGATAACATGTAAGAAAACAGGAAAAAGGTAACTGTTTTAGAGTTACTGTCAAGGTAGGGTATGTGCAATTTGACGGACACTATGCATAGGTGCAATAGGGAAAGTGCAATATTTGATTTGTGTATGAATACAAATGGGAAAAGTGCAATATTTGATTTATGTATGTGCAATAGGGAAAGTTCTGTACCTGTATGTTTCTTGTTTGTTTCTTTTCCATGTGATATGTGATCCTGTTCTGTATCTATGACTGATTGTCCTAAATGTTTTATGTTTATTATCTCGATGCCCGAGACAAATTTCTCCTATGGGAGACAATAAAGCTCTATCTAAAATCTAAGGTAAGGTTGGACCCAAACGCAGTAAGAGAGGGAGGCAGGAATAGATAACCAAAATCAAGCTTTTAATTAAGAAAAAGCTGATGACAAAAAAATAAGGGGAACCAGGCAAAACAGCTGAATACAAAAATAATAATTGAATACAGACCGGGTGTGGGAATCAGGGGAATAAGCATGAGCCGGAACAATAGGAATCAGGCAGGTACGAAAAACACTTCACATCAGGAACAAAGCAGACGGACTGACTGTAAACACAAGGGGGGGGAAGGCTTATATGCAAGACTAATCACAAAGAAAAGACACAGCTGGGGAGGGGAGGCAAAACACAGATGAACCAGGTCAACCAATCAGGTCATCAAACACAGACAGGAAGTAAAAACAGACATGACACAAGGGGTAAACCCTTTTAAAATAAAAAAAGACAGAAATCACAAAGACTAAGTCCACGAGTGTTACATAGAAAAGGATATAATGAGATTTGAGGTCAATTCTAAAATTGGGGATTACAACTAATAATGAGCATATTGCGTTTGATTCAGATTCTATTCCTTCTTTGAATGTAATCTACATACATATAACTGAATTTGCTTTATGGTTTTCACTTTCTTTGGTTCATTTCCTTTTTAATTCAGTAGGTGAACCTATATGTTCATAACATAGTGTGAGAGACCTTGACTGTATGGAGCATTCTCTGTCAGCTCAGTTTTTATGTATGCTTTTTTAAACTGAAGTATGTGCTCACGTGTGGGTGTATAGGCTGCCTGAATATGCTTAATGAAAGGCAGGTTTTCTTATTGATAACATCTCTGACTCTTTTCTATGGTAACATTGCTTTGTTATCTTATATAATTCACTTAGGAACAAAGATGGAGTGGTAGATTGAGAGCTTTGCCTTCTGGATCTGCTCTCTCTTCATCGCGAGCCAGAAGGCAAAGCTCTCAATCTACCCGTCTATCCTCTTCCATACTCTCACCAATGGTCCTGAAGGAAGGGTCATGACTGAAAGAATGAGATTAGAAGCAGCCAAAATGGGTTGGAAAATGTATGGATATAATATACTGAAGTAAAAAACATTTAATGCATATTTTATTTCTATTGTATTGGCATTTGATATTGAGGGAATCCAAAAGTAACAGGACATAATCAGGTTACATTACTCCTTATATTTTGATACTCACATTACTGATTACTTTTCTTACAGGTAACTAGAAATTGTAACAGAGTAAAGTTACTCTTCCAACCCCGGTTATGTTAGGATACCGCGCAGCCACTTAGGGTTTAAAACAAATCTATTTTAAAGTGTGTTATGTCATCCAAAAGTGAAGTCTATGAGCTGAGTGACAGCCGGCGGAGGCCAGCGGGAGATGCGCATTGGACCACACAACGCATAACTAAACCCAGAAGCTAGAATTAATCACTTGGGGAGCAATTTTTATTAAAGTGCATATAGACATCCATCTGGAAACCTTGACGGCAAAAAGCCTCTTGGGGCAGGAGATATTATTTTTTGGGTTTAAATGTAGCCAGCGAATATCCAAACCATCTTCCTTTACTGTGTGCTGCTCATTGGTGACAGTGAGTGGGCATGCTTCTGCCAAATCAACAACACAGATACAACATTCAGTATACTTTGTTTTGTCCATTCTCTCATCATAATGACATGTTAATAATAATATAATAACACATATTTGATTGACGTAAGGTGTGTTAAATCATTGTCGGGGATAACGGAGGACCTTCTTAACTTATTATGATTGACCTGGCAATTTTTGTATTTAATTTGTTGACTACACTCTCTGTTGGCTGAGATATCCAACATGTTATCTTTCGCCATTACACGGCTTTGTGGAATACTCGATTTTAATTGGTCAATTTGGACATTACAAAGACTATTAATAATTACTGTCGTTGCTAAGGAGAAGAGACCATTTCAATTCAACGTCAGCTGTGAAACAAACATTAGTTTTCTCCGTCAGAAAACACCAAGAAATGTGTGATGTGAAGTTTATGTGTTTCCTATTGTGTGTGTAATGCTTTTCAATGGGTTTCTGGCAAGGTTATAGTTTTTTGGCCGTTTTTTTATTGAATTAGGCAGGTTTTAAATTGTGATTCGGATGGAAAATATTAATCTGATCCGTCAACACAGTTAGCAGCCCAAGTAGCGATATCAGACGCAACAAATAGAGCTGGGATTGAGAGATTAAATGATGTCCGGATATTTTACAATGAGCCAGTTTACAAGCCTATAACAAGCTTAATTGTCTGTCAGACGATAAGCAATGGGTTGTTAGATTACATTTTGGCCAATGCGTTCCTCCTCTTTTGCTCTCCACACAAACTGCTTACAGCTAACGCCTGCTTAAATGTGATTGGTCGTTATTCCTTGGACTACATTGCCTCCTTATTATCCGCATGAATGCAGAATCTGCTTATAAAGATTAAAAGGGCTAACTTTCGAGTCAACAACCAGTTCATAAGATACGTCCATGGAACTGATACAGTGCCCCATTTATTTGCAAATGCATGCAGCAAAAGGCTCCTTGCACTTCCCTGTGATGATGAATGACAGCACAATTATTGCACTCAACCCAATCGTGCATGTTACAAGGGGGGGGGAACAGTGAATTATATGTTCAACTTCCTTTTTCAAACACAAGTGAACTGGACTTCCCCTGCATGAGTAATTACCTCATGTTATTAAAGTAATCACATACATTAGCAGAGCTGAGCTGAGTTCCAGATGTCCTGCTAAATCCCCTGGTGGTCGTTAAAACTGGGGATCATTTGCATCAAGTGTGTGAGAGTCTCAAATGAGGTTGTAAAAAGGTACTGGGCTCAGCTGACTGAGGGTATCATGAAGTGACGCTGCTTTCCAACTCTTTCATCCAAACAGCAGAAGGGTGAAGAAAGGGAGAATAAAGAGAGCCTTCTGTGTGTGAGGAGATCCACAGAATGGTGTCAAGATAACTTTAATTGGATTAGGGTTAAGATGCAGTTAGATTAATCCTCTTGAAAAATACATTTCAAGAGACAAAAGTAGATTAAATGTGTACACTGATATAAAGGGAGATATAATGCACACTGGGTGTCTAAATTGGCTTTAGTCAGTTGATTAATCGCACAATTGTAATGGAATTTGCACCATTGAAGTACAATATCAACGTAGGCGAGTCCTGCTTTATTACATAATGCTCGACTTCTCTTCCATAGTGCCCCTGTGTCAACATCCTATTTCAAAACCTGTATTGTTTTGAAGCGTGTTTCTACATTAACATCAATCAAGACAAAAATACTTAAGCATATACTGCAACTAATGGGAACTTAAACATACAATTCATAAATATTTTCAGGTTCATATTTGTGTTTTGTTTCTCTACTGTGACATGTTTACATGTTTTATTCTTCTCATACTGCCTATGCTGCAGCACCTCTTTTCACCCTCTGTCTGAAACCAGAGCCCAGAAAACCTAGAAAAAACATGGGCCCCTTCAAAAGTAACACACTCCAACAGTTTTAGTGACTTCCTATAGCATTACACCTGTGAAAAGGGATCCACACTCTGGCTCCATATCGATGTCCCTCTTTACAATGTTCAATCATGATTGGTGATCTTCAAAAAAACCAAGACAAAACACAAGCACTCAGATGAAGTGTGTACTTTTTTTTATTGAGCAGAAACAAAAGTGTTTTCAGCAGGAAGCAATCAGTGCAGTGTCTGCTAAAAATGTATTTTGTTGTCACGACGTGCACTCGAGCCACTTTTCACAAGACCTTGTATTGATCTTGAAGAAGGCTTAAGGGTATAGTGTAATTTGAATTAAAGAGAAACTCACGTGGAGCCAGAGTGTGCAAAGCCTTTTTTTTCTACAATACAAATAATCACTTTCTTACAGTTGCATTCTAGATCAGTGCAACGCAAGGACCAATTAATATTCTCATTAAGAATTCCTTTGCTGAAGCTCAGATGATGAAATTAATTACAAATTGTTCACATCTTTCTTTCTCTGGAGAATTCATAACAGCTTGTGCATTAAGGGAATCTTGGATGTCAGCACACTAATTGAAAGTTTATGAAAGAAAAGTTGTGTAAGCCTCCCACTGCAGTGAAATGAAAGAAAATGACTAGCTACCAAGAAAGTGATACTTAAATTGCAGCTGTCACCCTCTGACAGAAAGTACTTTTAAGTCAAAGGAGCACTTCAGGAATAAAGAAAAGAGCCATTTAAAAGACTAAATCTTCACTTTGTGTCCTGATTCTTTCTCACAGGTGGGTAAGATTAGAAAGACGGCAGCGCGGAGGAGAGAGTACCACATCCTGTTTATGGTTCTGACCACAGCGGCCTGCTACATGCTGTGCTGGATGCCGTACGGCGTGGTGGCCATGATGGCAACATTCGGCCCCCCAAACATCATCAGTCCTGTGGCCAGCGTGGTGCCCTCGCTGCTGGCCAAGAGCAGCACCGTCATCAACCCTCTCATCTACATTCTCATGAACAAACAGGTGAGGCAGCACCGTTCAACATGTCCAACAGCTTTATTTACACAGTAAACAAAGACAAATTACAACAGCTGAAATCATACAAATGGTCTATTTAAATACCAATTCAAGTGTAAGAAGAGAATTCACTCACAAATCAAAGTCAAGAAGAACACCCCAAGGCTGTTTGAGAGTGAGGCATTCACTCTCATTATGTGCAGTCATGGATGCTGCTTTATTGAGCGAGGAGAACTGCAGCAACCTGCAGGAGTTAGATGTACAAATCAATGTGGAACAATCCTTTAGAGGCAGTGTGGTGCACAAATTCCCACAATTCTGAGTAAAAACATCTAATGAAAAATAGGCCTCAAGAGAAAAAAGTGGATAGAAAGAGGCTGCGAGGGCAACGTAATAAACAGCGACTGCAAATAGGTTCTCTCATCCCTCATGTTACAGCATACTGCCCGGTATTTAATTCTGGCAATCAAATTGCTAATCAAATTCCACCTCAATCATCACAGAGAGGAGCATTCGCACCTGCTATTACTCTCATTGCACCCAGCAAAGACATCATTAAAGATGGGATTTGGCACAATATTCAGAAGGGAAGATGAAGTTGCCAAAACGCATTGCACTGAATCTAATGCTCCCTGGGAATTACCAATAGCTGCACCGCAGCTTAATGGGATTTCCCTGTCCACAAGCATGCACTAATATCCGCAAAACACCACTTAAAAAAGAATCTTATAGCATAATCGCCTCTCACAGCATTAATGACAATGGTGCCTGCACGGTACAGCACGGACAGTTTGAGACTCTTAGCCCTGATCCTGATTTGCATGCTCTGTGCATTGAAAAGTAATCCAAGTTACTGGAAATATACATGTACAATATGTTCAGGGTGTTTGCACCTTCAGTGTGTTACAATCACAAGCAATTAAACATTTGATCATTTATCTGGACAAAGGAACATAAGACCCACAGCTCAGCTGGAAACCTGCATGATTCAAAATGAATGATAAATCTCCTTAAGCTTCACAATGATCTGTTAAGACTGTTTTTTTAAATCTCCGTTATAGTCCTCTAATAGTTTCATACTTTACCAGGTTCCTTGTTTCAATACTCTTCCTATGACCTGCCAGACAAACCACCTGAAACTGGGGCTGGGTATCAAACCTTCTCCACCGTTTGCATTTCAAAATGGTCCACAACAACCGAGTATTAAAACTGTCGAGTAGGGCTGGGCGATATAATCAAATACTTATCGTGAGACCGACTGTTTTTACACAATTTGCACTGCTTTCTGGCAATATTAGATTTACAGAATTTTGCATCAATGTGATGAAATATCTTTGTTATGTATGTAATTCACTGAATTAGTCATTCCCATCTGGTTATTTTGTCTACCCCATCTGCTGCTGGCTGTGGTAAACCTAGCTAAATGTAATGCTGTATAATGAAACCTCCTTTATTCATGAAGGTAATAATCTAATATTAGAGGATTTGATCCAATTGCATGGTCATTTTGGAGGCTGTAGTTTAGTTGGTGATGTCTAATTGTAGTACATTAGAGAGACATCTCAGTTTTTCATAATTAGTCCATTTATTTTATTGAATTTCTATTTGTTTTAGCAGTGTTTACCATATGATTTAGCAACCGGGTGTAGTTTCCAATCAGAATTTCCAGAACATTTACTTTATAATGATACGCAGTATATCAAATTTGCAATACAAAATACCATAATAGAGGTTTACTTAAATGGATATTGCCCACCCTGACTGTCAAGTATCAAAATTGGTGCCAAATACTTGTTCAGGTACTTTTTTCCTTTTGATCAGGTGCTTCCCCAGTTATAAAAATGTTTTTGTAGAAAAAATGAGAAATGCATTGTTTTGGTATCAGCAAAGTATTTGTTTTTTGCAAAACGGATACAGTTCAGGTGATACCCAGCCCTACTCTACATCAATGTTAAGCCCCAGTATCATCTACACACTAGTATTACTACTTCTACTGTTATTCTAAAGCCATCTAATTCAACATACATCAGGATATTCAAAAGCAACATTTCCGAGACACGTTTTCACATCTTATATCAATCCACAACCAATGGCACAAGAACATTTTGTAGAATAACAACACAAATCTCAGTTATAGGCAAGATTTTTCTGACTGTCTGCAGCAGAATCACAACCAATCGTCCTCTCCACACTAAACTACAACCTCTAGATCGCAGATGTGGCACTGATTGACTGTAAACGTAAAAAAAGCATCCTAGCGTGAGACAATGCAAACCTGCTCCCATAACCGGTTCAAATTCCTCCTTTATAATGGTCTCCGCTTTGAGCTGCCTACGGTACAACCCAGTATTAAAAGGATTCAGGAAATATGAGACATTAATAGTCGTAGGAAATGAGCTTCTGGCTGTTACATGACAAAGAAATAACCCTGCACATACGCAGACTACATGTACAGCAGTGGTGAGCTCCAGGGAGGGTTTCACGCAAAGGGGAAATTACATTCAATAACGAGTGAACCATCTGACCGTCGAAGAACAGGGGCGGGAGATCGCTGAAGCGTGGTGGAGAAAACCGCTGACTTCAGCAATATCTACTGTGTCACACCTCTCACTGCAATTCAACTCACCGTTCCTGCAGTCCCGGTATGAAGCTAGACTGTGTGTACCTGAACAGACACAAGGCAGCCCGAGGAGAGTGTTCAGGCGACCGCGAGGCACAGGGTTTCCGCTGTTCGGCTCTTTTTGGCCACATTTACTTTAAAAAAAAAAAAAGTTACTATAACTGAACCCACAAAGGACAACCAGGACGTTCCTCCCTGTGGGGTTTTAAAGTGAGAGACAGGCTTCTTGACACTGAATGATTATCCACTCTGAAGTGTGAACAAGGAGGTTGGCATGCACAGGAGAGTAATTAAGCAGTGAGTGTGAAAGAAGCCCCTTCCTGACAGCACTGATGAACTTATTTCACAACGAGATGTCAGGGGAATGTCAAAGAGGTGATGAAATGTACGGCGGTGACACCATGTCTCCATGTTTGCAGACACGTCTTTAACACATATCTCCTGTTGCCGCGTGTGTTTGTGTCTGTTGGATTTATGACATTCAGCGTGGATGACTTCTTTATTTATTCACAACCCTTTGGACCAGTAAAAAAGAAAGGAACAAAAATCACAGATATCCACTGTTTTGAACAGTGGCATTTCCTTTAAGTGGAGACCCACGCATACTATTGAAAAACACAGAGTTTACACCATTGAAACACACCCAGTTATTGAAAATTCACTTCTTCTATCTAAAAACTGATCTGTTGCTACCCTAGTCAGCTCCACCGCTAACATGGCTCAGCTAAAGCAGAGAGAACGTCTTTTCCAGATCCTTCCTGGAGACTCTTTCAGGCAGTCTCTGGTCTAGTAAACCAATTTATTGAAGACAAGTTCCTTCAGAAGCCTCCATGTTGATCCCTCCCTGGAGCGCTATGGCTTATGTTCTTCAAGGGTCTAATTTGAAACTTGTAAGCGCCAGCCTCCGTGTCTCCAGTGGCTTTATTGCACCTCTCCCTTAGTCAGCCAGAAAAGGCCGGAGTGTGTGTTTGTTTGGCTCAGAGGGTCAGGTTTCATTTCTCAGATGTCACAGTTGACGGTGCTGAAGCCCGGCAGAGAGACCCGCCCCTTCCTCCTGAGGTCCCGCTCGGGCCCCGTGTTGATGCGCTGGATCAGGCTCTTCTCGTACAGCAGGGGGTGGTAGGCTCCCAGCGTACAGGCGGCGTCATAGTAACGCTCGTGGTAGTGGCACAGGTCCGTCTGCCTCATGGAGGGAATGTACTCGTACACGTGCACCTGCTCGCACAGCGCCATCATCACGAGGATGCCTGCAATGGAGAGAGAGAGAGAGAGAGAGAGAGAGAGAGAGAGAGAGAAGAGAGAGAGAGAGAGAGAGAGAGAGAGAAAGAGAGAAGGTCAGGTATTCATGTTGAAAATAATAATAAAGCTTAAGATTGGAAAAAAGCTTTAACATAAATAAATCAATACGTTGTTAGATGTTGAAAGCTAAATTATAGGCTGCCATTTTATTCTTTCTTCTCTAAAATTGCATCTATTATCATAAGAGGTTAAGCAGAGAGCAGTATGCTTCTTCATGGGTTTATTTGTTTACATGCACACAGTGTTACATTCACACATGAAAGCCTCCCAGTACAATCCATATGATCTGCAGAGCAGCTAAAGGTTTGACATTCAGGGAAAATAAATTGTGTTTACTTTCTTGCTGAGAGTGAGATAATAGGATTTCCTCCTGCAATATGATGTTAAAGGCAACAGCTGGTTAGCGTAACTTGGCATAAAGACTGAAAGCAGATGGGAACCGTTAGCCTGGCTGTCAAAAGGTACACACATCCACCTGCCAGCACCTCACAAGCTCACACATTTTGTTTTTATCCTGACACAAAAGAAAACCACAGGCAACGTAAGGATAGGGATTGGACTTTTTTCAGAACAGTGACGTTCATTAATAACAAGGATGACAACTCTTCCTCCCCGTTTCCAGACTTTATACTAAAATAAGATAATTGGTTGACGCCTCTATTGTTGTTTTCACTGGACAGATATGAAATTATTGTCAATGTTCTCATTTCACTCGCTCACTTATCTATGAGAAAAGACAAAAACAGGTGATTTTTTTGTGGTGATGAGTGGCTTGTTTTCAAGATATCAACCCAGATCGTACATTTTCTCTTGACACCACTCGGGTTTCTATTGACATGGAGTCCTGCTGTCGCTGTCTTTTTGTCATCACTTCGCCATGAACTCAACACCTCCTGCCTTCAGTTTCAAATGTTGTCCTAACTGGCCTTTCCAATGTACCCATATGTCCAGTTTACAGTTCATGTAGCTGCCCTCCCAGTACAGATATAGCCTAGCATGAAAGTGCATCAATACTAAAATGCACATGTGATTAAAAGGAGTGCAAAAAATGTATTCGCCTCCCTCAGCATCTGCTAGGTGTTTTCCTTTGAGATAAGCCTTCTTCATAAAGTCTCACACGGTGTTTCACCGGGCAGTGCAAATGTGCAAATGTGATTATACTGTAAGTGCAAATGTGGAGTTGGGCTGTGCATGCATGCTCAGCAAAACCTTCCTTAAGATAAAGATACAAATAGAACTGAATGCATAATGAATTAAGCGTTCGCCTGCCTCAGCATGGTAGTTTCATACAATGTGGCACGCTGCCAACACACAGAGCAGTCAGCTCACATATTCTTTTTTGTTATCCTTTGTTGTTTTTCACACCAACTTGCTTTTGACCACTGCTGCTGATCTCTGTTTATCACTTCCCTCTCTGATGATTGGTATTCTGCTCGCAACTCTCCTCCTTCTCCATTATTGCTCTTCAGCATGATCACAATCACAACAAATCACTACGAGTGGGAGCCTCCCTACAGAATCTATAAGCATCTTGTGGACAAATAGCCGTTTCTCTCCAGCCTGTTTGAAAGCAAGATGGCCCTGTGTTGTTTTCCCTCCTATTTTCTCACAATAAATCAACATGCTGATCGATGTCAATAAATTCACAGAAGACGCAGTTTTTCCAGTAAATCTAATAAGCCTTTGAAACGCAGCCCTAAACAGTTTTCAGTAAAATTACACGAGTACATTTCGCTCATAAATGGACCATTTGAATGTCTTTTCACTTTACCTTGATTTACGCAATTGCACCTGCAGCTAAGCCATCAGAATCAGGACAAAAGTGGCAAAGTAACGGCCATCGCATTTCAAAATGCACCCACGATGACTCACCCCCTAGCAGTACTCAGAAAACACAGAACTGACATACCTTTCAAACTGTGTAGAATGAAGGTCAAAGTAACAAGAACACCTCTGACACCAAGTCTGCGTCATCCTCTCAAGTGGCTTTACTTATTGACAGTGGGGACATGAGTGCACTGAGGCATGATTTCTTCCCAATCGAACTCCAGTCTCTCAAAGCATGAAACAAACCAAGGTCAACCTAGGGCTGCTCAATTAATCGTATTTTAATCGCAATTACGATTTTGGCTTGCAACGATTATGAAAACAACATCATCGAAATAAAACGATTATTTATTTATTTATTCTTTGGTTTTTTTTCAGTTGAATTATATTTAAAGTTCAGGGTAATCAACTGTTAAAAACATACTGTTCACATTTTTTCAATAAATGGATGTTTTCAAAGTAAATGGATAATCGTTTTTAACAATCGTGATATCAATTATTGACCCAAATAATCGAGATTATGATTTTTGCCATAATCGAGCAGCCCTAAGTCTACCCGTAGTTAATGATAGCAGAGAACACTGATGTTGTGCTGGTGAGTTGTGTTCACATTCTCCCGTCTTTCCATCTCAGTTCTACAGGTGTTTCCTGTCTCTGTTTCACTGCAATCGCCAGCCTGCGGATCAGGGCAACACGTCGATGCCCTCGAAGACCACGGTGATGCAGCTGAACCGCAGAGTGTACAGCAACACGGTAGCCTGCACCCCCGAGGTCACAAAGGGACCAGACAGCAGACAGACTTGATGAAACAGAAAGGACTAAGCTTGATAAGCCACACTTGAGACGTGAACTGCCAGGGAATGTGAACTGAAGCATGATGCATCGAGAAAGTAAATGTACTTTATGTGTGAGTTTGTGTTTGTCCTTGAGTTTTGTAAAAAACACAAAAAGTATTAAATATACTGAAGACATGTTTGACAAACACTATATGGCCAAAGCTATGTGACCACTTCAACTTCAACACCTTAAAGAGATTGGTGAACATCTCATTCCTACTGTAAACCTTGATGACTATCTTGCATGGTGTTTGCTGACTTTACTCACAGTCTGTGGGCTTAATGTATCCCAACAAGTGTTTGCAAGGTTATAAATCAGGGCACTCTGCAACAAACTCTGAAAAACGAAGTCTTTATTGTTCTTGCTTTGTTGAAACAGGCCCGAATTAAAAAAAAGTATTGTGCATGACTGGATTTGGATTTTCCATACACATTTGTGGGCGTCTACTTCAGGCCATATAGATTATTATTAACGCAAGAGCACATTGAGGATCAAATCATTTTAGAATAATAGTCTCACAATGAAGTCAACCAAAAAACGTAACCATTTCAAATAATAAATAAAAATAACTTCCAAAATATACGTTATGTTTTATTTTCTTCTCCCCTCAGCCAGAACAAAAACCTAGTGCCTATTCTCTGTTACTGTGCAGTCTGTTAGTCATTGTGCTGACTAGAGTTGTGCTTCTTCAATGTCTTAAATGGATTGATGTACTCATTATCAAACATCTTTTCTTCCTCTTCACTCCAGTTTGTCTCTCGCAGAAAGATCTTACATTTAAATGTCAACCTGTATATACTAAAACGTATGATTTTAATCTGCATGGTAGGCATCCATTTTTATTTCTGCTATACTGTAGGGATTCCTCTTTTGCTGTAGTGGTTTTGTGTCGTGGCATGATTTTGTTGCATGTTACTTCCATGTAATTCTAAATTGATAACACATAGTGCAAACTGTTATTTCCACCTGTATTATGACACATGACTGACAGCTTAGGTCACACCTGTAGTCTCACTCACTGAGTAAAAGGTTTGACAGAGGAGGTTTCAATCATTGAGCTTTTGTACTTTAATGTTCAAAAAGCTCTTCATTTTTCTCATTGTGCTGCATCATCTCTTTTCACCCTCTGTCAGAAACCAGAGCCCAGTCTGCTCCGATTGGTTAGCTGGCTGGCTCTGTTCTGATTGGTCAACCGCTTAGTGATTTCCCGCCCCTTAGCCTATCACGTAAAATGGGTTGGAGCCAATAGCCGATAGAAGCGCAAGTGTTACACACCACAGTACTTTTCCCACTTTAGTTCCGATATAGTTCCGAAATGTTGCGTTCACACCAACAAGAATCCGGGACTAAAATTAGTTCACAAGAACCTTTTCACCCCATTTTCAGTCCCTGCTAGAGAGCAGGGACTTTCGTGGGAGAAAAAGGTTCCTATGTCTGATTGGCTGGGCGGATTGCAAACCACGCCCCGTAAAACTCCCAAAAGGTTTTGTGAAGCCGCCATTTTATTATCCTCGCATTAGCATTATTAGCATTAGCATTAGCCCGGCGCACAAACGCAGAGAGACTAACTTATGGCAACACAAAATAAAACATGGGAGCGGTGGAGATGAGGAGGTGTCGGCGTTCTGGCGATTTACTCGGAAGGCTTCAGTAGAAGCTGCTGGGAGTCCCAGCAGCTTCTACTGAAGCCAGTCCCCAACTCCGGGGACTTCCGGTGGCAGTATACACCGTGAAGTTGTTTGCGACCTGCCAGTAAATCCAAAGCAGAAGAAGAAGAATAAGTGACGTCAGCGGCTTCATTTGCCTAATCCTCCCCCAGGGATTTATTCCGGTGTGAATGCGATCTGTACTTAGTTCATGAGAACAAGAGTTCTCATGAACTAAGTTCTGATGAACCTTTGTGGGAAAAGTACTGCGGTGTGAAAGCGCCTTATGTAAGGGAGGTAAATAAAGGAGTCCAATGGAGGCGTGGCGGGGCGGGCCGGGGGGGGGGGGGGCTTTGCTAACCATTTATATGCACTTAAACCTACTGCACACACTATAGGAAAGGGAAAACCCTAAAAAACATAATAGGGCCTCTTTAAAGGAAGGGAAGCAAAAGGATCTGGATATAGTTGCCAAATGGCTCCTATTTCACCTGCTTTTAGTATCCCACATCAGGAGGGGCCAGGCTGAGATACACTGCGATAACTTAGAGTCAAGGTTTCCAAAAGAACGCCATTAGCTGTGATGTAATGCATGTTGACGTTTTTATTGCAGGATCCAACGTCAGGGAAGTAGGATACACAAACTGATGTTAGTGAATGGCCCGAGTGAAACGGATACCAGGCACATTTGATACAGAAAATGTGATTTAAGCCCATCTAGAAGCTAATATAAATTGTTTGGATGGTAACCCTCAGGGAATGTAAGGGACATAAAGTCATTTTATCGTTTAATTATCATAATAAATATTGCTGTCGAAGAAAACCATTGTGCTGCTGTACTTTCAAAAAAATATGCTGGAGTTTCTTGTGAAAATGGTAGGAAAACATAAAAAAAAAAAAAACGTTTAGCGAAATGCAATTTGACATGTGATGCTCTGATGTGCAACAATGCTGTCAATGGACTCTCTGAGTATTAACAGCTTCAACGTGCCACCGCTCTCTGTCTTCTCTGTGATGCTCATAACAAACTGTTTACATGGTTAAAACCCTGACAACAATTCATTCATAACATACCAGTGTTTATAAAATTGTGTACAACTTTGACTTTGTCTGGTTTTCATGGTGAAAAGTCTGCATTATTCACTTATTATAGATTATACGCAAGATTTATTTTTTATAAGAAAAAAGAAGCATATTGACATTGAAAGCAAATCTGTATAAATGTATTAAAAACCTACATTTTAATGTGACACGACAGTCGGGAAAATGTGTTTTGGTAGATTTATGTTGAAAGAAGACAAATGCCATCATGGCTTCTGACAGATTCCAGTGTCTCTCCTTCCTCCATAAAGGTTACCATAATGACTGTATTACTTCGAAAAGACAAAACGATTACAAATCAATCTCCGATTCCCCATTTTCACTATACTTTGCTGTAACGTCTCAGAAAAATAAATCTAGCTTTGAATAATGAATGCACTTAGTTTGAGCCACTTTGTACAATGCTTCTGCCAAATGAGTGTTAAGAGTGTTTGGAATAAAGACTTCATTTGTGACTCAGTGATTGGCGACGTAGAAACCAGAGTAATTACTATTGAGAGGATGTTTCTAGACAAAGACGGACTCAAATAGTAATGAGGGATTTTGTTTGTGTTTTATGTTTGTGATTATACTGTTTAGTAGAAAACAGTATAATCTGTGCATCTTTACATATAAAAAACAAACGAAGAAACTAAAAGATTCTAGCAAGGAACATTTAGCATTTCATTTTCATTAATAAAAGATGCAAGGATTTAAATTTCACCTGGATTTTTCAATTTTAAGACCTGCTGCCTCTCACTCAAACCATCTAATATTGACTTCCTGCAATCTTTTACTTCAATCAGGAAAACAAAACAGCGGCTAACAGAAGCTCTGCCACTCATAAAACGGCACAACTGTGTTTGTTGATTCAGTCTCAACAGATCAAAGTGTGACCCATGTCTCCTCTGTGGTTAAACTGTGTGAAATCAGTTTGTGTTGTCAATTGTTGTTTGATAGTTCTGTGTATTCTGTTTTGAGGCGTTATCACTTATGCAATGCCTGAAAGACTCATGAGCTGTAGATTCTGATAACCTAATGGTGTGTTGTCAATAATAAATACATTTTTGTGAGGAAGTCAATTTTAAACATGTTTTTCCTGTCCAATATCAAATATGAGCCTTAAGCAAGGATAACATTGAAGGTGAGTATCAGAAAAAGTAATGTCATTCATATAAAATCCGGCTTTTTCAAAGATACTGTTATTCATATTTTTAAGGTAACATATCAAAGGACAATGTCAAAGGGAAACCTATAGAGTGCAATCAACTAATCTTGAGCTTACCCCAACTTTACCAAGCTTTTGAGAGCTTTGGCTATAGTTTCTGTGGATAATTAACATATGTAAAATAGGATCATCCATCTTGAAGCTTGAGAATATGGGCCAAGTCACAAAGTAGATATACTAAATCATTGAAATTCGAAAGATTCACAGAAGACCCAAAATACAACCCAAACAAATAACTGATCCCGATTATTCCGTCAGTCTAAACATTAAATAGGTAGGATACAGTAGATAGACACATATAGAACGTTTGAATTACAATTTATATTCATTTCAGGGAAGAGATATATTTAAGATGCTGCCTCAAAGTGGTTTTGAAACAGACACAAACAATTACATTTTGCTACCAGACTCATTCCATAACTGTAGGCCTCTGCAAACCACACTAAAGCAGGACCATTAAAGTGAATGTTTTTTACCCTTGTTTAAGTGCGTTGGAACAAGGTCAGAAAGTCATTGAGAAAAAACAACATATTTCACTTTTAAAAAACTTCCAAAAGAAGCAAGTGTATTTGGTAATCCTCAGCTCTAAAAAAGAACGTCAGTCGGTGCGTTTACTTTGAAGAATGTTATCATACATAAAACTTTCTTCTATCAAAGCTACTTGAAGAAAAAGCTTGAAGTTTGCTTTTTTTTAAAACAGTAAATCTATATTACCCTTAGAAACTTTGAAAAACATGTTCAACATTCTTTTGATTTCTAAAAGGAAGATAAAAGAAGAATTGTATGCATTTTAAAAAATGTATCCACTCCCACTAGTTTCTTATCTAGGTTACTTTGCTGATCCATGTGAGATAAGAACAAAATTATATCAGAAAAATAATACTCTGAAGAATGTGAGAGTAAAACACAAAATCATTGATATGTACTATGAAGAGGAGGGGCCCAAATATGGTTCCCTGGGGTACACCATATCTTTGGTTTTACTTTGAGATACAATGTAATGTTGCTTTTTCCCTAACATAAAGCTTCTGAACCATCTGACTTGGTTTCAGCTCATCGTTCAGCTATCATTCATTCTTTACGCTTTTATAGTGTGTCTTTCGTCTGCAGCAGGCAGCTCTCAACGATGCTCTAAGCAGCAACTGTACACAAAGCAGCAGACACAGGTATTGACGTGCTGGTGAATGATGCGGCGCATTTAGTAGCGAGAGAGCAAGAAACTTCCAAGGTAAAGGAAAGAGAATTGTACACATTCACCACACAGCACCAAATGGATGATAATGTATTTACGATTACTTTACAGGGTATATGCAGGAATCCTGAAGTCAAATGTAAGACCTTTTAAGACCTTTTTTAAGACCCTTTCCATACATTTTAAGACCTCATCGCCACTTGGAGTTTTAACCGGTTACCTTGGCGACACACTTTACCTCACATTGACCATATACAGTATTGATTGTCCTTCCTCCTTGTCTTCCAACCATTTGGACGCAAACGTGCATTTCCCCATAACGATGTTGTTTAACAACCGGCGTAAACGGACCTCGCACCCTCACTGCTTGATAGCGCGCGAGTCGCGATGTCCTGTTCAGATGACGTCAAACCCAACGGGATGCCATAAATAAACTACACAGAATCACACTACACACCTACGCAATGATTACATTCAGGCAGACTGTAGAATACAACCTCTTTGGACAATTTATATACTTATTGAAAACAAGCTACAAAATGTAATACCTTGGAAAATGCAGTTTAATACTTTTTAATAGCCTTAATTTTCGCTAAATTTATTGATCAACTTTTAATACTTTTTAAGACCCCGCGGACCCCCTGCTTTACTACTAGTAAGATAAAAGAAGTAACTGTGTGCAACAATGTCATAATAAAAAAAAGTAATTATGTCAGTGATGTGTTACCAATGTGTTTCTGTTTACCCAAAGAAAAAATAATACTATCTGAGCATATGCAAGCGTGCTGACATGATAAACTACGAAACTGGAAACATGATCATTGTGAGCATCCAGCTATAATGATATGAGTGTTTGCAACAGTGTTTGTTTTATGTCTGAAAGCTATCTAAATCACAGAGGTTCTTCGTCAAAAAACAATCAGATCTAGTGTTCATGTATCTTGCTACTATATCAAATCAATTTGATATATACTTCCAAGGCAATGACAAATCATTCGTGACAAGCTCATTCAACATGTATCTGAAATCGTCACTCGATACTGCAGATCACGCACAAGAATAATGGTGTGTCGCTCTTTGGGTAAACAAATGCCTTGTATATATGCCGTCGTCTATAGACTGTATAGGGCTATGTGAGGGAGAAAGCATATTAAATGTCGGAAATGATAGTTGAAGAGACATGAACTGGAAAATTACATGCTGGAGAGTTTCTAAGATGAGCTCACAGTGGTCGCATCTCTGCAGCCCCCTGCTCGGATGTGCCACTTTGTAGTGCGCTGCATAGCCACGCTGCATACTGAAGATAAAACATGTCATAATTTATTAGCATGTGTGTGCGTGTGTCTGTTTGCATCTATATCTGTTCTTAGCGCAGGCAAAGAAATAGGACATTGGATGATAAGTGTACAGAGGCAACGACAGGAGAAAACATGTACACAACTTGCATACTGCCCGTGTGCATGCTTGGACGTATGTGCACTCACCTATGAAGCCGGACGAGGGAGGGTTGGGCTGGATGTTCTCCTGAGTGTTGCCCTGAACCACATCCCACAGCTGCCACACGTAGCTGGGGTGCAGGATGTAGAAGGGCTGGTCGGGGTGGAGCTTACGGCGCTCTGTGTACGGACCGAACAGGTTGTAGTCCGGACTGGCATACCACTGAAGAAGAAAAATGAGAGAGGGACAGACACCTCAGTTTAGACCATGGGGCAGTTAAATATTTCGATAAAAACATTCTACTGTTTATTGATTTCTGAGTTACATTTCAACCGAGGCAAAATGATAATATAATATATATATACTTTATTAAAGGGGCCCTTTTATGCTTTTAGAGTTTTACCATTTGCTGTAGTGCACTATAGGTTTTTGTGCATGTAAATGGTTTGCAAAGGCTAAAATCACAAAGTTCCCTCCAGAAGGAACATATTGTCCCGAGGCTAAGGGGCGGGGCATCTCTAAGCGGTTGACCAATCACAACAGAACCAGCCTGCTATCAAAGCAGACTGGGCTCTGGTTTCAGACAGAGGGTGAAAAGAGGTGCTGCAGCACAGGCAGTGTGAGAAAACTAAAGAGCTTTTTGAACATTAAAGCATGGAGACATGTTGAGACCTTTTCCACAGAGGGTCTAAAGACAGAAGATGTTTTATGCTGTACAGTCTGTGAAGGCACCGAGACAAACGTGTTATTTGTGGTATTGGGCTATATAAAGAAAATGTGATTGTCAGCACACCCATATCACCACATCACATATCATATCACCTCCAACCAATTGTACCAATTGTACCAATTGGTACAAAGTCCTTGATCAGACATGTCATTAGCTTTGATATATTAATATCTTGATTAAAACTAAATTATGACGAGTGGGTTAACTCACTGCATGCTAAACAACAATTATAGGCAACGTGATCTTCTCTCTCCTTTGCTCTGTGTGTGTCTGCTAACACAGAAAACAAGTTATTTATTATTGTCTGCATTTTTAGCATCACCACTTTAGAAATGTTATAGGAAACACTGAGTAACACACCAAGCTGGCAAGCCAAATTACACTTAAGACATATACAACTGCAACGAAAGTAACAAACACAATGCAATATCCTTTTCAATTTCAAAGAACACAAATTGGGTTATTTACAGGTGTTGTTTTGTGTGGAAGAGGGTCGCTGTCATTGATGCGTTTTGCACCCCGGGCCGTTGTTTTTGATATTCCGCTGAAGTATACGCTGTGACGTAATAACTCTTATTTATTTTTGAAGGAAGGGGTGGGGGTCAGAGGGCCTAGGTATAAAAGTCACGGCTCGCCACTGAACCTGTGTGAATCTGTGCTGTCCTGTTTTTCATCCTTAACCTGTTGCTGTTTGAACTACTGAATTTCCCCATGGGGATTAATAAAGATCCATCTTAATCTTAATCTTAACTCAAAGTGGGCCGGGTTAAAGTCTTGGACTGATATTTTCAAATGTATAACATTTTATATTTTCTAATGAAGGAGCAGCAGTAGGAAAAATAAAGATGTTTTTTTATCTTGAAGAAATCTTATTCCCAGCAGAACTTATTTTTTTAAGACATATTAAGAGGTGGTGTTTAAGATATGTTTTAGTAGGTGGAAATATGTGTTCTAAGGTATATGGAAGATGGCAGAGATGTTAATCAAAGTAAATGATAATTAGTTAGACATCCTTCCTTTGCTTTTCCTTGCAGTGACACAGAAGGTTAAGGCCACTGCACTTACTTTTATCATTTCAATGAGTTAACTTCAAAGAAAAGATAAAATAATCTGAATCTTTATAAATGTTTTTTTGTGCTGTGTTTCTCAAGTGGGCTGATGCTTCTTTTCAGCAGTAAACATGAAGTATGTATTCAGTTCAGTACAATGATTATAACTGTATGATATTTTGATGGAAATAAGGTCTACTGTGATGGATTCAAGGAAAGTGTATGTTAAGCGAATAAAATAAAAAATAGTTCTCAATAAAAATCAATCGTCAGGGCTATAAATATATAAATGTCCATTGCAATTACATAAAAAAAGGGATGGTATGGATTATTTGTAAATCATGGTGAATTCTTTATTATGGGGTTATGGTAAATATCCTCATGATTGATTTAATATAGTGGAAAAGTAGATCATCACATAATCTTGCTGTTCTTATATTTTTTACGTTTCATTTTGCTGGAAGGTCTGGGATTTTGCTGGGAGGTTACTTCAAAAGAAGTATGTCCTGTTTCTGATGCGATCAAAATGTATGCTGGCTAACCAAGTGCTTAATGGATCCAGTATGTTTGAGTGTCCTTTTAAAGTCTAAACCAACATTTGGTTAAAAACCGGGACAATATCGTGAACTGCGTTTTGGCCCCAGAAAATAATAATAATAATAATAATATTGGGAGGGATGAAACCCTCTTTAATGGTCACACATGCAGAGCACACGGCACACACAGTGACATGTGTTCTCTGCTTTTAACCCATCCTAGTACCAGGAGTCTAGTACTAGGAGCAGTGGGCAGCTAATGCACAGCGCCCGGGGAGCAATAAAGCAGTGTGTAAATAATATATTGCGTGAAATTCAAGATACATTTAAATTCATAAATAATATATTGCGTGAAATTCAAGATATATTTAAATTAATTAATTAAATTAATTTGAACATAATTTCATTTTCCTTTCAGTGTAATCACAAATGTTACTCTGTGAAGATAAGCACACTTTACATCCTACAATTTAATTTGAATACAACAAAGAACAAAGCCAATTACTTTACATCATCTAGCCACAAAATCACATACAAACGTGATGCTGAAGAATATTAAGAAGTAGTGTATTTCTAAACTGGAATATGTGAGAGAAACAAGTCCAAGAGATGGAGCGGTCAATAGGCACCACAGCTTTAAATACATTTGTTCACCAAACTAATTAAAAAAAGGTCACACTTGTCACATTGTATCTGTCAACTCCAATCGCCGTCCTTTCAAACATCTCTGCTGCTTTGTCCTTTACCTCCCTGTGACCCTGCTGGCTTTATTCAGCATCCCCATGTCTTTTGTTGAGTAGTGGGACATGTGCTGTATGTACACAATGATGGGAGGAACACGTGTTGCTGCCATTATTTTCACACTAACTGATCTTCCCTTATTGCGGTTTCAGTGATTGGCTTCGCAGCAAAAGCTTCCCCTCTAGCAGCGATGCCTTGTGTGATCTTCCTGCAGAATATTAATGGATGAGATAACACACATTTACCAGTGCTCCTGCAGAGAAGTAAAAGGTTAAAACCTACAAGCTCATCGCGGTTCATTAAGGAGGACAAGTTGTTCTATTATTGGCTTGTAAAAACTGTAAATGGCAAAAGAAACATTAGTAGGAACGGACAAGGACATTCTCTAATATTCCATAGTAATTTGCTTAACAATGGGAATTTAGAGAGAAGGCTACGCTAAAAATGCTAATCAATTTCAATTTACAAAGCATGTTTTTTAAATATAACCTATTGATTGTGGCAGCACACCATTCCCCGAATAATCATTAAAATGTAGCATGAAGAGGGAAAGAAAGGGCGAGGAGGAATAATGTGTCTTTTGAAACCTGTGATAACATGAATGAGGCATCTCAAAAGGCAGGTGAAGGTCAGATGAAGGTTGCAGAGACAGATGAGAGAGAGAGAGGGGGGGAGGGTCAGCTGCAGGTTTTATTAGCACCGCTGTAAGGTTTCAAGAGGATGATATGACTGTTGTGTTCCCTCTGGGGAAGAGAGCAACTATGCATGGTCCTTTCTACACGTACGGCTATTGTTAACATAATTACCTTGGTGTCGCCTTAACATGTCTTCCGTTGTATCTGCCCTACTGTCTTTAATGTTGTCAGGCAGATTAATTCTGCTCATTTTCAGGTCTGAATATGTATTTATTGCCTCTACTCTGAGATGTCTCCATGCTTTAATGTTAAAAAAGCTCTTTATTTTTCTCAGACTACCTCTTTTCACCCTCTGTCTGAAACCAGAGCCCAGTCTGCTCTGATTGGTTAGCTGGCCGGCTCTGTCGTGATTGGTCAACCGCTTGTCTTGGGGGGGAACTTTGGGATTTTAGCCTTTGCTGACCATTAACATTCACAAAAACCTAAATCAAATGCTGTACCCGCTTGTAAAGCCCCCTCAGACAAATGTGTGATATTTCAAATGTATTGAAATTGATTGATTGATTTATCGATTGAAAGAGGCTCCTTTGGGATGAAGAGACATACCTGGTATAAATTGACGGTGTAAGGTGCAGGATCCCAGGCTACCAGAGTCACATTCTTGTAAATGGAGCTCGAGTTGAAACGATGCCTGGGATTGGCCAAAATCTGTAGAGGGAAATATCCATTGTTGTAAAATAAAAAGACGCAGGTAACAAGCAACATTTATTGGAAATATGCTTGTTAACAGCATTTGATTAGCTTAGTTTAACATAATGACCTGGAACAAGTTGAAAGAGCTAGCTTGGCTCTGTCAAAAGATAACACAAGCAGCCTCTAAACCTCCCCGTTAGTTTAATCTGTACACAACTAAACGGTAAAAACATACATTGTCGGCATCTGATGTTTTCTGTCTAGACATCGTCGCCAGGCTTTTTAAATGTCAAGTTTGCCAAGTCGGCTCTTTTCCTGTTTCCAGAGGGAAACAAGGAAGTGTCCAACTATGATAAACATTTCCGTCGACACCTTTCAAACGACAAATAGTCATTTCTCCCATAGTAAATATAAAAGTATGGATTTAAGCAGCTTTAACAGAACTAATTTAACAACATAGTGACAGTTTACCTTTAGGCTGACAGACTGTCGCAGGAGAACATTTACTTTGGAGAGTCGTGACTTAAGGACCTCAAAACAATGTCTCCGAGATGAGCTGAAACTTTATATTTGAAGTATGTTCATTTAATGCTGATTTTATGTCTTGTTTGAATTGTACTTCAAGAACCATGAAGTTTAAAACAAATATAAACTCTCCTCAAATACAAATATCCAAATAAAACTGTAATAATTGTGTAATTAAAAGCAGCATTCAAATCATATTCAGAAATGTTGTTTGAGAAATGCAAAACGACAGAATGGCAAAAAGACATAAATAAATAAAAATATGCTGAAAAACGTCAGCATAAAAATCCATAAAACATTTATCACATCTTTAACATGACTCTTACAGTTGTACATCCATTAATAAATCATCCTTTGCGCCACACAAAGCCAGGCTCTCTCCCCACCTGTGAGTTGATGATGCGGATGGTGGTTTTGTTCCCCACGTCTCGCTCGTATCCCTCTGTCGGCGCAGCATTGAACCGTAACACTGCGTCATGATTATCTGAAACACAGAACAGACCACAGACCATGAAGCAGGTGATGGACTGACCTTGGCGTGTAGCTCGTAAATACGCACATGAACACTTAAGCTGGGTGCTATTTATATGTTATCATGATGCAAAAATTATCCTTTTACCATTCCATTACTGCTCTAATCCTGCCAAATGTGTTTATTGAGGTTTGACACACCTGCAGTAAATCCAAAATGCAAACAAGGACAAATAAAGGTGGGAACAAAAAGATACCTCAACATGAATTGAAAAGTCGTTCTGAATCAGCATGAGTTTGTCAAGGTCTTAATGTAGTCACCGCTGCTGCTTTGTCTTATATTGTAAAGACAACTTGTGAAAGGAAATTATACAGATAGGGATCCTACACCTTTTGCATTTCATTTTTTAGACCAAACTCAACATCTGAGTATTAATAGCTAGACTGTAATATAAATAAATGGTTTTAAGTCAAACTGTCAACATGTAAGTTACATTTGGACCATAAATGATTTAACTTTGACAAATAGTTGGCAGAAGATTAAGGCCAGTTAGATCATACAGTACAAATCAATTAACAATGTAGTCGTTAGTGTGAGAATAGTAATGTTTTTTGTGTTAGTGTGATTTTGACTTGTTATGTTTCTGTATAGTACATGAACCCTGTCCAATTGTAGATGTATTCATAATTTATATTGTAAATACTTTATGTTTAATGTCTCGGTATTCTCAAGTTTGTTATTGCTTATCAGGGTGTCCCATTTCACATGTAACCATCATGTCTCATCAGAATAACCATGTAACCATGTAGGTTTGCACGTACAAGGCATTTGCTCTGGTGTATATGGTGCATAAATAAACACAGTAAAAGATCAAATGTAAGAAAAGGACCAAAATTAGAACTATTACAAAAACTATTTTAAAAATGATTAGTATTACGAGAAATATTTACATCAAATATAAATGTAAAAAATGTATAAGTACAGTGTAATATGACAAAACCTGAGATGTAAAGTCGAGGGCTATGCAGATAATAGGAGAGGTAGCTTTATTCACAAATGTGTATAGTATAGAAGAGTCCTGTGTGGGATTCACAATATTAAAATGAACAGGATTTTGTTCACATGATAAATAATAATATAATGCATGATGTGAAAGGTGTGGGTAAGAGTCAGGCTTTTAACTGAACAGTACTGGTATTGTTAGTTCATCTTGTGAATATATAAATAAATGGTTCAATGGACAACATTTCATGCATATCACAGGACATGTGTGAATGTACAAATCAGAATAGGAGAAATAGTGAAACACCAATATTTTCCATACGCGGTTATCTTTTTTCCATTCACTCCTTATTATTCCCATACTCATTTCCTCCTCTGGATGCTGTGTAGGAAGCCTTGTACAGGAAATGCGTTTTAAGCCACACTGAGGCTCACTGAAACTACATCAACATGAAAAGTAATTTACACATGCTTTCACGTGCACACGAATGCTTTCACGTGCACACATAGATGTTTGTGGTCAGATCAATGCTTTTTGCAATTAGGTTCAAGGTTCAAGGCTTTTATTAGTCATACGAACATAGCTACAATGTAGCTATGACGATGGCAATCTTAGGTCACAGGCTCCTCCAACAGTGCAACAGAATACAACTGAAAAAAATAGTGCAAGTAAATACAAAAAGAGAAATAGTAAAATTGTGAAATAGTGCAATAAGAGTCTATATACAAGTGATTGGAATATGATATATTCGATAAATAATGTGTAAGTTGCAGCCAGATGAATGTTATGGATGTTGTTTCAAAAGTTCAGGTGTTTAGCAGTCTTATGTCCTGAGATTAGATCTCTGAGGTGCGACATGCAGTGAAGTGAATTACAACCACTTTGACTGGATTTATGTCCGGCTCACAGATGTAACCAAAGTGCTCTCTAGTGGTTGGCTCCTGTAACTGATGAGCCACTACTAATATGAAAAAAAACATTAAAGATCACGCCTAATTCTGCCCACATGTGTGTTCATAATGTCCTTCACACTTCAGCATCATGAAAAACACTGTGTGATGGATGGTTGGAGAGATCATTATAAACTTGTGACGTCTGTTGATCGATCCATCAGAGCCACAGTCTTGGACCGACACCAGAATGGATGATCCGCCAGATTTCTATCTAATGCTCCTTCATCACCGTGACTCGACTGGAACAACACTGATTGGCATTCACAACAACAACAACAACAACAACAACAACAATAAGACCTACTTCAAAACGCTGGAACCGTGATCACTAGCTTGACATTGAATTTTCCCTCACACTCCAATACAATCCTGTAAACACGTCAGCTCCCCACAGGGCGTCACACCGATGGATTTTCACGGTTTTCTTTAAGCACGGGTCATTTGTTGTTAAATAATCTGAGATAAGGTTTACTGACTCACATTACAACTGTTTCACACAATCTAAAGATTAAAGCTAACTTTGTGTATAAGAACAAACAAGTGAATTTATTATCTAAAGTTTTATGTATCCGTTTATCATTTCTATTTCTTTTTGCCAAATTTCTTTTTTTGTTGTTGAAATATTTATATTTTTTTTATATTGTAGATTACATTATAGACATTATATATTTATTTGAACAATTATGATTATTTTAATTGTATTATCGTCATTGTTTAAAAGAAAATATTTTAGTTTGTGTTGTCCTGGGCTTTTCTTCTTTTTTAAAAACGTTTTGATGCAGTACTTTGAAGGATCACTATAGAGTGTGTGACTCTGGAGACTAAATGTTCTCTCTGACCGCTTAAAGGGAGTAGGAAGTAATGCTTTTTGAATGACCACTGTTGCAGGTGACAGAGTGCGGTTCAATCAAACGATAATTTGTTTCTTAGTACTTCCAAAAAAATACAAAAAGTATACCCAAAAATCAAGAGGTAAGAAAGTAAAAAATACCAATTATTTAAATATCTAAAGAATTATTGAGTTCAAAATGAGCTTCTACCATTTATTGTTTCAAAGCTTTGAATTCATTCTTGATTTCTCATGATTTTCATTAGAAATATTGTGATATCTGTAGAATAGAACAGTGTGGGCCCCATTTTTGGCTGACCTTTGACCTGTTGAGGAGTCTCAAATCAATGACAAGCAAACTTTTGCTTTCTTCAACTGAGTGCGAGAAACACAAGGCAGGGGATTGGTTAGTCTACTGGTCAGGTTTAAAGAAGACATATTCTGCAAACTTTCAGGTTCATATTTGTATGTAGTGTCTCTCCTGTGACATGTCTCCATGTTTTAATGTTCAAAAGGCTCTTTATTTTTCTCACACTGCCTGTGCTGCAGCACCTCTTTTCACCCTCTGTCTGAAACCAGAGCCCAGTCTGCTCTGATTGGTTAGCTGGCCGGCTCTGTTGTGATTGGTCAACATCTTAGAGATGTCAGGTCCCTTCGCCTATCACGTACAATGTGTTGTAGCGCTAACCCATAGAAGCACGAATGTTGCATAGTGATGTCATTATGTTACAGAAGTAAACAAAGGAGTCCAATGGAGGCATTCATTGAATTGTAGCCTTTGCAGACCATGTAAATGCACACAAATCTATATAACACACTAGAAGGAAGTGAAACCCCCCCCAAAAAAGCATAATAGTACGCCTTTAAAGTACGTTTGGTGCTTTGTTTCATCAGCAACTGCCATAAAGTATACATATTGTGACACATAAAGTGAAGTAGTATTACAACACCATTCCTCATACTCTGTCATGACAAGATTGATTAATTTAAAGCTAAAGAGTTCATTCGTCAGTGTCTACGAGAGTAACGCCCACGGCTCCTCAGGTGACGCTTGTCGCTTGATATGTTATATTCCTCTGTTCTCATGATGAATGAGTTTTACAGTTTAAGATCAACTTTATTCTGGCTCCTTCAGACTTGTTAAATGTGACGTGTGGCTTCGTAAACTCAAAAATAGTTATGTTGATTGTAAAATATTCTGTACAGCTGACACTGCAACTGACCGTGTACATGTGGCTGCTTCAAAGCTAGGTGTCTTTTTATGTTTTAAAGTTTGGATACCAACTTCTAAGCCTGACAAATAAAACCCAGGAGAGGCGGTAACACGTCCTAACAAAACCACAGAAGAGGTCAATACATTCCAAAGCAATATATACTGCATGACCCAATGCTGTGAAATGGTAGGAGTTTTAAGCATGTTGTGAAAATAGGAATAGATGGTAATATTGAGGCAACACAACTACTTTGTTGGGTTAGGGAAAATATCCTGGTTCAGGATTAGATTCAATAAAAAGTATGTTACATGATGTGGTAACATTACTTATGTGACAAAGTCTAGACGTGGTTATGGTTATGAGGTAACAGGATTGCGAACTTAGTAATAAGTAGTAGTGTAGATTAGGGCTGAACGATTAATCGATTTTAAATCGAAATCGCGATTTTAAATGGTGCGATTATGAAATTGCAAAGTCTGCGATTTTTTTTTACTTTTTTTTTTTTAACAATTTTTAAGCAAGTCATCCACACCAATCAGAAGTGCTGTGCTCCACATGAACCAGCCATTGTTAATCAATCAGAAGTGGCCCATGATAGAAGGTGATAGACAGATTGATCCAATCACCTGCCAAGTATTTTTGAAAGTGCATTTCATTGAATAATGCTGTAAACTACGGCCCAGGGGCCAAATGCGGCCCGCAGACCATTTTGAATCGGCCCTCAGCTATTTAAAAAAGTATAATGGGTGGTGCAGTGGGTTGTACGTTGGTGTTGGGGTCAGGGGGCCACAGGTTCAAAGCCCACTGCAGTCAGCATGTCGTTGTGTCCCTGGGCAAGACACTTCACCCCAAATTGCTCCTGTGGGGATTGTCCACAGTATTGAGTATGTAAGTCGCTTTGGATAAAAGCGTCTAACAAGTGACATTTAATATAATGGAATAATGGAATATGGCCGACAAATGAAACTTGTGCTTATCTTATATTGTACTTCTTAACTATAAATGCAAACATATATTACACAGTAGTATTCACGTGTTAAATTCAGTTAATTCAAGTTGGAAACATTTTCCAACATATCCTAGTTGATAAGAAAAAAGCCCAATGACTTATTTACATAACAAGCTTGAAATACACCCTTCCTATTTCTCCTTATTATAATCAATCTGAGGCTTCTGTTTTAAGGGATGAGCTGCCAACACTCACAAGCACAATTTAACTACATTTGATTGATTTTGCTAACTTATAACTGAACTTATGAAGCAATATACCCCTTCGTATATTCTTCTGTATGTGGCCCTCTGTGAAAACAGTTTGGAAACCCCCGCTGTAAATGGTTTGTAATTTCCCTCCCACATTATACAGGGGATGCAGTCTGTTCAGGCCGCCACATGATGGCAGTCACACATCACACACATGACAGTAAACCTGAGAATGAAAGCTCTCACAGGATGAACCCTGTGCTGCAGCCACTGAGAAACCTGAGCATCTAAATGTCAGCCAACCTGCATGTGGGACAGGAAACAGCTATGTGGTCACAGTCCTCTTTCGCTATGTGTCACAATCAAAAGCTGCATCTTGTAAGTCTTGATGCAATGCAGGCTTTTTGGAGAAAGACAGCAAAGTAAGAAGCTAGAGTGGGAACCGATGCGGTTTGATTTTCTGTGATAGCTGAGCCTGAGAATAAATGTAACAAAGTCAAGCTTTTTCCAACACTGTTCAATAATAAATCAGCTCCAACATTTATCTCATTCCTCAAGTCATTAAGTCCCCTTGTCAAGAAAAATCTCTTTTCTTAAGAACTAAGTAGCATGATGATGACACACTGATCCAATACCCTGACACCAAGATGTATGAGTTTCCCCCCTCAGAGACTGAACACTCATAAATTACAATTTGTTGTTTGACGACTTTCCTATATTCTCATAATGACTTTTTGATGGCAAATGTGATGTTTAGAATTGCTTTTTCACAAGGTGTGAACGCTCAAAACGAGGCATGTGTGGTGCTGAAGAGACACATTCACTCGCGTTGGTTATGAGCATGTGCAAACGGGTCACATTATTGGACAGAAGCCAAAAACAAACATGGGGGATGATGATGCATCGACAGAGATCTACAAACACCTGCCGAGTTTAAGTCCGAGGCCTGGTAGCCCAAAACTGAAGCCTGCCTTTCTTTTCTTTGCTTCTAAAAATAAGAAATAGCACTCAGTGAAATGTGTTTCATCCTCCAGCACTAAAACAGAAAACATATCCATCAATAATCCAAAACAACAACAACGCGGTCTGGGAGTTTTACTTAAACGCAAAACTGTATTTCTGTAACTGCGCAGGAAACCTGTTTGCACCAATAAATAATCTGACTTTAGGAAGACTTTTTATTTTCTTGCAGCGAGTTGAGGCGTCACTTTTGAAAGACTGCAGTGCTGATGTTTCCTCTGACACAGCACCACGAGTTAATCCCACTGTGACCACGGGGTCAGAGGCCGATGTAGCTCTGCATCTCATTTTCACTGATAGTTGTTTCCTCTGCTTCCCTTTCTGGGACAACCTTATCTGGGGCAGCTAGCGTCTTCAGAACAGTGTCAGTATGAAGATATTTCTTGTAAATATATAAATAAAATGCATAAAGCTATTAATATTAAAGATTGTTCTTGCTTTAAGCAGCTGAATCCTCAAGGAAATGCACGGAAGCTATATGTGATGTGAAGCAGCCTGATTGGTTACCAGAGGGGGTTCTGTTTTTTTCTACTGAGCCATCTGTCATTGAGTTCTCACTCTCCCCACTTACCGAAAAGCTGCCAAAGTCTCCATACCAAGACCACACACATTCAAACAACGACATATACCCTACTAGGCACATGCTCAAGCCTGATCAGCTTGACGAGTTAATCAGCAAAGGCCACATGGAAAATGTGAGCAAATGCAAATGATGGATATTTGTTTGAATTCAAATTGGGAACTGGGAAGTGATACTTAGGTAGGATCAGATGACATTTAGCCATGTGCACACATGCGTCAAAGGTACATAACAGAGATAAGAGATACTGTTTCAACATGAAACTGCAGTTGAATTGTTCAAATATTATGTTGTAAATGTTTCCTGTTTGAGATAATGTTGAGCAATAACGGGAAACAATTTTGAAATAAAAAGTGATATGTTTCCACTCAACACTTAGTCATTGACACACACACACACACACACACACACCCTTTCGCAGGTGAGAGTCAGTGCTTGTGTCTGTGCTCTATACAAGAGTGTCTTAATCACTAGTGTTATAAACGACTACCTGGTTCGTTTAAGCTGGATTTATTGACAAGTCACAGCGAACATTTTAACATGGAACAAAAGTAATCTTGTTACACCTGTGACTTTGAAGAAAGAGCTATAATACATTGTATACATGCATTACAATGCATCTTTAATGTAAAGCTGATGCTTTTAAAAACTCAAAATCTTTATGTATTTATTTATTTGTACTTTCCGTTTTCTTTTAGTTCTTTTTCTTGTTTGTTGGTTGTGATTTACCTATACTCTATGTAACTATACGAGTTTGTATTCTGTGGTAAGTTCATCTGTTAATGAAATAAGCCTAAGTATTAAAAAAACACTTACTAAAATAGATTAAAACATTTCATAGTTAAGTTAGAAATGACACCTCCTGACCCTTTGAAAGTAAGGATGATTTGAATACTAATCAACTATGTGCAATATGTGCTATATATATATGCCGTTTTGAATGATTTGAATCTAGAAATGTAAACCTGCCTTACAAAAACAGATCAACTCCTGTAGAGCTCAGTCACCTTTAATCCAAAAATGTTGTCTCTCTACTCACCGATCTCTCTGCCCAGTCCTGAGCGCAGGATGGCCCCGGCAGAGGTGACCACGGCGCAGGTCTTGAAGGCGCTCTGGTGCAGTTTCTCCAGAGGGAGTGAGGGCACGAGGCGCGCCCAGCCGAGGGAGGAGAAGGGCTGCTCCGACCCGTCCACCGTCCGGAGCCGGGCCTGCGCCTTCATCTGGCACAGCAGCTCTTTGGCGCTCTGGGCGGCCCTGCGGTGCCCCGTGTAGGAGACGTGGTGCTTGTTGGCGCTGACGTAGTCCTTCATGGCGCGCTGCAGCCGCGGGCTCAGCATGCCGGCGGACGCTCGACCCCTCCACAGCCGCTGCACCAAAGAGACCGACTTTGAGAAGTAAAACTCCTCCAGATCTGAGGAGTCACCGCCCGGCCTCCTTCTGTTTCCTTCAACTTCATTATCCATCTCTTCTTCTTCTTCCTCCTCCTCCTCACCACCACCTTGGTAGCGCCTGTTCTGGTACTCTGTGTGGGCGATTCTCTCCCGACTCTGGATTGAAGGGTCCGAGTGAGAACCCACGTTTTCTGTGCCGAAGGAGGACCAGGCAGCCAGGCTCCGAGGGTCCAGGTAGTCCTGGTAGGGGGCGCTGTCGGGGCTGCGGCTCACTTCCAGGCTGGGTTCGGGGGTCGGGAAGCTGGCAGAGGGGTCGGGGTCCGGCTCACCTCGGGGGGAGGTCGTCGTTAAGGTGGAAGCCAGTTCGTGTCTGTTTGGTCGCTGTTGATTGGAGGCCTGTATGGAGGCCAGGCGACGCGTGTCAGGGTGCTGTGAGAGTAAAGAGCCAGCAGAGGTCAGCGGCTCATTCACACGAGCATCCAGGAAGTAGGAGAGGAGGCCGAGGAAGAGGAGCACCCAGGCCAGCATCCCCACCAGCACCAGCCTCCGCCACTGCCTCATACTGGACTTCATCACCTCTCACTCACATAGATCTGGCCCACCAACAACACAGCCCCACAGCCAGGACTCTACTACAGGTCAGCTGGAGGGCCTGAGGAAGGAGAGAGATCAGGGTGAAACTGCTGAGAGGAGAGAGGGAGAACCAACACGAGTAAAGCAGAAGTTAAGACACTCACCTCAACGGTTGCTTCTATTACTTCATGACCATGTGGCATCCAGGATTCAACAATAATCTGAGGAGAGGAGAGGTACACGTTAGTGGAGTCAAGTACATCATCTTTAATGGTGATGTAATGTGAGTGAAATACACATTGTGAAAGGATGCGATATTGCACTCAGGGATGTTCTTTAGTAAGTTGAAGGAGTAACTGTTAAAGATTGCACTTTCAGATTGTAAGACTGAGCTTTAAATGTCCCTTTTTAAAATGATTGGAAAGCAATTCTAGTTATAAACATTGTGAAAATATAAAAACGCTTAATCCACGGAGGATATGCACACAGCCTGAATTCAGAAGCTGTATAGGGCTGCTTTTTAAATTATTAACGACTATCGTGATCATGATACAGAATTAGTATAACTTGTCTGTACTAAAAAGGTACTACAACATTTCGCAGGCTTCTCTCGATGCAGTAACAAGCTATTTCAAGTATTAAAGCAGTACTGATAATAATAGCAGAAAGGCAGGACTAAGTACACATCCATTTCTGTTTATTATCCCCAGTAATATCATTTTTGCAGTAATGAATAAAGTACTTCCGGATTTTGCAACTCGACAGTCAAGAGAGCACATGAAAACATGAGGCTGTGTGCATGAAAAACTCAATCAGTGCTCACAGTGACGCCACAGGAAACAGCTCCTGCAGAGCAGCACTTGTTAGGAGTCATTTCATTAAGATCCATTTATTAGCTGGAATCCAATTCTCATTGAATCCAAAGCAATTACAACAAGAACTAAACATGGCTGACATCAGTCTACTCAGACATCAGAGATTCCAAAGAATATTAAAGGTTTAAAGAAATGAACAATTTCTAGTTTCCTCAAAGGAAATCGTTAGGTGTAAAGGTCAATACAAACTTTATCTCTAACGTGACGCAGACTCGGGAAGTGAATCGTTTTCCATAAATGGTGATTATCAAACTAACTTCAGTCTGAAAGGTCCTCAGCTCTTGATTAGGACTAATTGGACGGTTCGACTCTACTTTTCCCAGGGGGCAAAAACTCAGTGCTGAAACAATTAGTGGATTCATCTGTAACATTTATCTTTAACACCCCTCCAATTTAGTATTTACAGGCACTTTAAACCTTTTAAACCGTTATATTACACTAGAATTCAGCTATAGGTGCATTGACGTTTGTGTTTACTTCTGAACAGTTTCGTATAAACTATTCTAATCTCTCATCGTCACCGTTTTTTGTTTCTAGATATAGCTTTATCCTCATCAATGTAATCATGTGATGGACTTTACTGTACAATTATGATTCTTTGCTCATTTTCCTAGAACTTTAAACAAGCCTTTTATTATATTTCATTACTAAGTCAACATGAGCGGAGAAGAGGGATGCAACCAACAATTATCTCCACCGTATCTCATCTCTTGTCCACGGCTAATCTCCGATAATGCTTCACCCATCTGCCTAATATGGTGTGTGATCATTGAGGGCTGTTTGCTCTACGAGCTGTCAGGCTCACAGTGACTCACACTTTCTCTAAACACGTTTTAGTTCCCGTTGTATACCCTCTGACTGTCGACCGTCCCCAAGTGAGCAACAACAGTGGCTTCAGTTTGGTCCTTTTTGGGCGGTGTGTGTGTGCGGCTCAGCTAACAGAGCTGGACACACACACACTGCTCTCCTCCACTGCAATACAATGTTTACAGCTACATAGATTTTTGGTTGGTTTACATTCAATTCCAGGAACATTGTTTATTAAGATCTGCATCCTGTGAATTTGAATCATTGATTTATTCATTTTAGTTTTAAAATAAAACAGTGAATTTCACAATTTCCAAGTGGCCAAGGTGACGCCATTAAAACACTTAAATTGTCCAATAAATAGTCCAAAACCCACAAATTATAGTCACATAAAACAGAAATATTGTACTTGTATACTTTGGGGATAATAACAACCTCTGTTCCTCTCCACTGACAGGCACTATGATGACGACATTACTTCACAAACCCACTCATTGACATTTCACATGCGTATCACCACATTACCTTTGCTTATTTTATTGCTGTACACAGAAACACAATCATTAAAAGACCGCAATCATATTCAGCCCGACCTACTCTAATACTCTGGTGTAACGCGTGAGCTTCGCTGATTGCTTACAGTGTGAAATACACAGCAGTGAAGGTGAATAAATGAAGCGTTAAATCTCCTCACATCAGAGGAACTACAATCCTCTCAGCCACGCGTAATTATGAGTTTTGGTCTCTTAATGTGGGAGCATTTCTCCTGAGAGTGGCAGTGTGGAAGTAAAAAAAAGAAGGCTCCTGAGTGTTAAGCCTGCACTCGTCCTAATTACAGCTTCCTGTCTCTGAAGCTGCCACGTCCTGCAGAGCCTGAAGCCCCCCCCCCATATACACAGAAATACAGGACTTTATGCCCCGCAGCCACACAGGAGGCCAAAGCTCATCCAGTGACCCCGGTGAAGAAGAGGGGAAACAGCAGGGAGAAACTGGGCCAGAGGGAGAGGAGAAAGTATGGGAGAAAGAAAATAAGAGCTGATGCAATCTCTCAGACAAACACACATCTGCACAAACACACACAGCAATATGATAACGTGTTCTGCCTGAGGCTTTGAAGCCATTGGCAGGTGGGGTAGGTGTCGGGCAGTAATCCCCTGTGTAGCAGTTTCAACATGTCTACTCAGAGAAAAATATGGCATTTAACACCTGGAAATAACAACAGCAGGCCTGACCTACAAAAACATAAAGAAAAACAAGCTGGAGAACACACAGCTGCCCAATGACAATGCTGTCAACAAACAAATGGCATCTACATGCACCACTGCCCAACAGAGGCAGACTGAGGAAGTGTGTGTGTGTGTGTGTATGTGTGTGTGTGTGTGTGTGTGTGTGTGTGTGTGTGTGTGTGTGTGTGTGTGTGTGTGTGTGTGTGTGTGTGTGTCAGCTTTTCGTGAATGCATGTGTGCGCGCAGCCTCACCTGGCAGCAATCAGGGTGTGTGCTTCAGTAAATGCAGTGAAACAACATAAATGCGTGGCACAGATGGAGAGGCGGGGGTGGAGGACAGAGCTAGTTTTGTGAGGACTTCACAAAGAAACAGTACAAAACGGGAAACATGGAAACGAGCCACTGCCAGACAGCAAAGGACGACTAAACGACTTAGTGGGAGTTAGCAGGAGACGGGGAAGAACAAAGGAGCCCGAACAAATAAAAAGTATAGATCATGCAGAGAGCAAAATTGAGATCCACTGCGGATACACGATGTAGGGGGAGAAAGAGGAAGCTTTTGTAAGAGGGAAGAGGAGATTGCAGGCCATTTGCCCTAAAGAGGATAATTATGTGGTTTACGACCTGGAGGAAAAAGTAGGAAAAGTGAGCGAATGAGCAGTGAACCGAGGAAACATGAAGGGTCAGAGCTGAATATGCAGGTTTTTTTCCAATAAAGCGGTGATTCGTCTATTAAATAAAAAGCATTAGGCTACATTTCTATCACAACTGTCAGAGTCGAAGGTTACCATTTCAAATATAGCCTACTACTTTGTCTAAAAAACTGTGACGATAATCAAGTTTGCAACAATGTGACCAATAATAGGAGCTAATTCCTAACACTTTAAAAGCTGTTACAAGATAATGAGAATTCAATTTGGCGTAATTGCTTCGAAAAATAACTGCAAGAAGTAATCGTTCACGATAATACCAGTTAAAAAAGTATTCCATTTTATCTGGAATATATGACAATAAGTGTTCAACGGTTTAGACTTGTTCTTATTGATTGATTTCTTGCATGAAAATAATGTCATAAAAAGGAAAAAAGGAACATCACCTTTTTCTAAAGCTCAAAACAACACATTAAAAATGACTAGTTTCATTCGTACGAGAAAATAATATTCAGTTTTCTATCACAAAGAAAAATAACACCATTTTTGCATACAATGTTAAGAGGTTAGATCCTGGAGCTGGTTAGCTTAGCTTAGTTGAGCTTAGCATAAAGACTGGGAACAAGGAGAGACAGCTAGCTCTGTAAAAAGGTTAAAAATATATAAATCTGCCTTCCAGCAAATCAAATAGTTTCATTTATCAAGACATAAATCTCATACATGTACAAAAGCCATAGTGTGTAACCACCATGTTTAACGGGGGGGGGGGGGGGGGTTGTGCAAAAATATGAGTCTGCTCTGGTTGCCATGCAACCCAACAGTGATGACAGGACTCCAGGAAGTCACCGCTTCGGGCCAAGAAATAGCCCAGCACACAACCAACAGTTTAAATCCAATACATTCTCAGAAATATCCACACCCGTGACCTACTATACCTTTTATTAGGTGCCATCTGCCAATAAGAAAACCAAAGTGGCTGCTGATTCAAAAGCAACCTGCCAGCACGGACTTTCCATTCACAGAGCAGGGCTGTAGAACATATACAGTGTTTGTACAGCTGGTGAAGGGGAGGTTTCTCTGGAGCGCGACCTTCCATAACGTCCTCTGTTGACGTGTTTGATGTGTGCCTTGAGATGAATGCTGTCCTGCAGGCCTTTGTCAACCTCCATGACAAACCTAACAGTGATCTCTTCTCAACAGACAGCCGGATAAAAACAGGACATAAATGGTGCCACAAAGGCAGAACCCAAATATCCGGCCTGCAGACTTGTGGACTACATGGACGCGTGCCCGGAGAGTCAATGAGTGGCCATGGGCCGTCCTAATCCACACATCATCAAGTTTGCAAGGGGCCTCAGGCGGACTTTCTGCAGACTTTCACAGTCTGACTGGGGAGAGCACTACACACTTTGCTTGGAGCATTACCCATAGTTCATGTCAAAAGTGATTTGAAAGATAGGAATATTAATAATAATAATAATGAAGCATTTGGTGCTTTTTTATGTATACAGTGTATTGAGAAAAGCTTTGCACATAGATAATATGTGTAGGCTGAATAATAAGCCTTTAACTTTCAAATTAGCAATGGGTTGTTTCAATGCTCCTACAATAAATAAAGCTCTGCAGTTCAGTTGTATTACAAAATAGTGTAAAACCTAAAATT